ACCCTGGCCGACCCCTTCTTCGTGGTGGAGACCACGTGCGTGGTCTGGTTCACCTTCGAGCTGCTCGTGCGCTTCCTCGCCTGCCCCAGCAAGGCCGCCTTCTCGCGGAACGTGCTGAACGTCATCGACGTGGTGGCCGTGTTCCCCTACTTCATCACCCTGGGCACCGAGCTGGCCGAGCGCGAGCCGGGCGCGGGCCAGAACGGCCAGCAGGCCATGTCCCTGGCCATCCTCCGCGTGATCCGCCTGGTGCGCGTGTTCCGCATCTTCAAGCTGTCGCGCCACTCCAAGGGGCTGCAGATCCTGGGCAAGACCCTACAGGCGTCCATGCGCGAGCTCGGCCTGCTCATCTTCTTCCTCTTCATCGGCGTCATNAAGACCCTGCAGGCGTCCATGCGCGAGCTCGGCCTGCTCATCTTCTTCCTCTTCATCGGCGTCATCCTCTTCTCCAGCGCCGTCTACTTCGCCGAGGCCGACGCCCAGGAGACCCATTTCTCCAGCATCCCGGATGCCTTCTGGTGGGCGGTGGTCACCATGACCACGGTGGGCTACGGGGACATGCGGCCAGTCACCGTCGGCGGCAAGATCGTGGGCTCGCTGTGCGCCATCGCGGGGGTGCTCACCATCGCCCTGCCGGTGCCCGTCATCGTCTCCAACTTCAACTACTTCTACCACCGGGAGACCGACCACCGGGAGTCGGACCGCGAGGAGCAGGCGGCCCTCAAGGAGGAGCCGCAGGGCAGCCCGGGGGCCGGGCCCGACGGCAGAGGCGCGCGGAAGGCCAGCTGGAACAAGGGGTCCTTCTGCAAGGGGTCCCCGGAGAATGCTGAGGGAGCCCGAAGGGGCAGCTGCCCCCTGGAGAAGTGCAACCTCAAGGCCAAGAGCAATGTGGACTTGCGGAGGTCCCTGTACGCCCTCTGCCTGGACACCAGCCGGGAGACAGACCTGTGAGGGGGGGGTCCAGGCCGGCTGGTGGGGACAGCAGAAGCCTGGAACCCCGGCATCTACATTAGACCACAGAGTATTTCAGACCCACCCTGTAACCCACGTCTGTCCCTCTTCCTTTTGCTCCTTCCCTCCCTCCCTCTTTCCCTGGATCCCCCCATTTTTCCCCTTCTTTCCATGGCACCAAGGGTCGCCTATTTTTAAAAAGTACCACATTCCATGACGCAAGAGCTGTTAAAATGGTGAGCGCCATGAGATGGATGTATTTGTAGCCAGTCTCCTATACCCAGCACAGGAACAACCCAAACAGAAGTGACTTTAAATAGCCCAGATCCCAGGAGATTTTATCACCGCCTCCCCCCCCACCCATGTGTTTCAGATTTGCTTTACATATATGATTATATTTGTGTATAAGGGGAAATATTTTTTATGGCTGGTGAGTGGATTTTTGCACTGTAGTTCAGATGAAGATATTTTGGATATATTTTCTGGACATAGGTTGTTTTTAATGGAAGAGAGAGTTACTGTAATGTTTTTCTGTGAAACTTAACGTTAGAGCCAGAGACGCTGGGTGGTTACAGGGTCTGGTTCCCGTGTCTGTAAGCCTCTCTCTCTTTTCTGGGATGTGCTACCGATGCTTTGCATCTAAGGCAGGGAATGTTCTGGAAGAAAGGCACGCCTGACTTTTTCTGTGCGCCTTAAACAATTCTTATAACTTTCTTCGAAAGCATGTTCATGATGTTGGAGGAAGGCTTCTGATAATTCGTTCTCTTTGTTTTTGTCCCAGGAAATAAAATGTTACTTGGTTGAGGCAAATGTTAGTTTTTCTGCAGCTGATGCTTTTTTTTTGAAATTAAAAAAAAAAAAAGTCTGTCACTTGCTGTTTTTGCTTTTGGAGTCAGAGCAAATGCCACCTTGACTGGGGTAGAAAAGTGGGAACGCTAATGATTTGCTCACCAGCATGTTTTTGCTGGATCCCCTCAGTGACTCATAGACAGGAGTGAATTCTGTTCCTCTCAGGCTGTTGATGATACGGACACCCCTGTAACATGTTGGTGTTAGACTCAGTCATCAGCGTGGAGCGGGATGGAGCTAAAGGCCCAGGGTGATCAGGCCCCCCTGACCCCTCCTCACCCCTCATCCCCCACCCCCAACTGCTGTGGTCTCCCGGTGCTGGATTCTGAACTCTCCTTTGCTGCAGGCTTTAAGCCGTCTTTGCCACGGCTCTCAACAGCTCTGAGAAACATGCCCGATTCTTAGACATGAAGCCTGTTTGCAAACCAGGCCCTGGAGTGAAAGTCATGGCGGGAGGGTGGGAAGGAACAGCACCTGTTATGCTCTCCTGCCAACCATTGTGTGGCCAGGAGAATGGTGGACGGAGCAGCCAGAGACCACATGGAAGGATTCGATTGTCCACACTAAAGGCTGGTTTCTGCCTTGTCCAGAGTAATCCCTAAACTCAGAATGAATCTCTTTGTTTCCTTTTCACTGGCTGGCTGTGGAAAAACATCACAGTAGGTAGAACACTGGTTGCAGTTTCTCTCTGGGATTAGCTATTCCCGTGGGGCTCTGAATTCCTGCTGCTGCTTTCTCTGCTGAGTTATCCAAAGACTGGTTGCTTCACATGGTCACCAGGGAGGGCTGGTGGTCCACAATCACCTCTACCACGACAACAGTGAGCTTAATGGCTGGTTGTCAGGGTGCATCCAGGTCTCCATGGGGCGAGGGGGCATCTGCTAAATTGATGCCTGGGAACTGTGGGTTTAAATAAGATGCTGACATGGTAATAAAGCCTGTGCCTGTGACTGACCCGAGCCTTTTGTACCCAGGAGCTGTTAGCAGCCAATCTGAGGAGGAAACAGGGCAGTGCAGGCAGGCAGGGCTCTGTTGTTTCTCACCACATGCTGGGGCAAAGAAAGAGAAACAGAGACACTTTATTTACTTATAGTTTACATTCTGCCTAAGAGCAGGGCATCCTGCCAAAGCTCAACTCCACGGTCTCACCTCCAAGCCCTCTCTGGCTTTAAAGCTAATGCGTGGAGTTCAGCACACACCTTGACACTGGGACGGGGCCACCCAGCCCCAGGCTCAACCCTCCCTCAAAGGCAGCAGAGAACTTACCACCTTGGATCTGAAGGTCGGATCCTTTAGGCCTAAACAACAGAGAGCGGTGCCCAGGTCTTCCATGTATCCAGGTGCCTGTCTCCATCTTTAAATGCCCAGTGAACAGATGCAATACGAACCCTCAGGGTGCGGTGGAGGAAAGGAGGGAGGGAGTCTCCCTATTTTGTGTGAAAGGGGGGGACACTGCAGAGCAGGTTTACAAAGGGAAATTGGGGGTTCCAGCGGTCCCCCTGGAGTGGGGTATCCTGTCCCCTGCTGCTGCCTGTCATCTCTATGGCCAGTGATGTGGCATCTGTCCTGGGGCGCTGGGAGGGGCACCCGCTTTGCAGTGCAAGCATTTCAGCCTCTGTCTTCTCAGTGTGCCTGTTGCTATGGTTCTGGAAAAGGCTCCACTGTTTCACTGACCTTAAGGTTCATGTGCTGAGCGGGAAGGAACCTGAATGTCAAGGCTCCTACCCAGGGCTGCCTGAGGTGAGGCCCCTCCTGTCCCCTCCCCACCTCCGCTTCCCTGCTGTCACTGATTTTCCACCGCCTGTACCTTCCTGAGGAGATTAGATCAAGTGGCCTGAGCCAAGCTTTTTATCCAGATGTTGCTCCTTGGCCCCCACAGCAGGAAACCACCCCCGGGCTTATCATCTGCCAGCTTCAGCACCCACAGCAGGGAGAGCAGGGCCGTGCTTGGTCCGTGCTCCAGCGTAGCAAGGACAGCGTCTCGGCTGCAGATCGCGTGGCCCCCTTTCCACTACCTGCTTGTTGTCTCTACGGTCATTGCGCCCTAAGCAATGACAGGTTTAGAAGAAAATATATGTATTTTTCAAATGCTTTAAAAGCCCCAGCTCTTTGATTCACAAGCCGGGGACACTCCCTGGAGGCACCTTTCCGTAGAGTTTGGCTTTGAGTTAAAGACACTAGCACTTCCAGGCATGGGGTGTTTGGAGTGAAGCATTTCTCTTGGCGCAGGGACACCTTGTTCCAAGTGCCCCCCGGAAGTGGCAGGCTGTGCACGTGAAGGGGACCCTGGGCGATCTTCAGGTGCTCTGCTCTGGTTTGGCCTCAGCACACATCTGCTCAGCAGGTACCCATGCCCATGGCCTTGGTGTGCTGGGGATGCTGGAACAATTAGGACGTGGCCCCTGCCGTCATATGCTTCCCTGTCCCACTGGGGAAGCAATTATGGCAAAACAAGGGCAATCCTGCAAGACTGTGTGTCATCAAGTGCCTGTAGGGGGCTCTGAAATGAAGTGTCACAGGTCAGGAGTGGGAGGGAGAGGAGGAATGGAGTAGGAAAGGAAGTGTCTAGAGACCTTGAAGGGGGCCTAGGAAGAAGAGAGGGCATTTGGGATGAGGACAATGGGAATAGTGGGCCAGAGGAGAATGGCTGCCCGGTCCCCAATCAGCATCATTGGGGATGGAGTCCGGAGTTGTATGCTGGGGCCTCTCCGCAGGACCACAGTAGGAGTTCCCCTCTTACCCACGGCAGGGGGCTCAGAGATTGTTTAGGGCAGGATTGGCCAAAGTTCCAAAAAGGGCCAGATAATAAATACTACAGTCTTTGCAGGCCAAGAGGCAAAAGTGAAGCTGTTATTGTAAGTACTTATGTAACTACTTAAAATGCAGTCCTTTAAAAATGTCAAAACCAGCCTTAGCTTGAGAGCTGCACATCCCTGTCACATCAGTTTATTGGTAACACAGAGGCTGCCCCTGGGCTTCCACTATGCTTGTGAGCCCTGCCCTGGCTTCTGATTTTATTTTACTCCATCAAACTTGCATTTCTTGCAAATGCCAACCCTTGGCTTGGGGAGGGGAATCTCATGCTGGCATTTCCTAGACCAGGGACAAATTTGTTAAAAAGATGTAGCTTACTTCTATCTCCTCATGGAAATTAGATTTTTCAGGCAGCCCCAGGACAGGCCGGTTGATTTCTAGGGAGGGGGAAGAAGATGCCAAACTGGAAATTCTGTCTGGGACTCTGGGCAATAGGTTTTCCCCAAGCTGTTGCTGGTACTGGGCCCAGACTTCCAGAGAATGGGCCCCCTTCTCCTTCTGGCCCTTAGTCTTTTCCTGGACATAGTATCTCACATGGAGCCTTGAGGATGCACTTCTTTGCCCCTCTTCGCATGGCTCTTCTCTGGCTGCAGAGATGGGCCCAAGGCTGGTGTGGCCTCTGTGTGCACATGGTGTGCATATGGTGTGCACGTGTGTAGGAGTGTGCATGGTGGGGAGAGGCGGGGCCCAGCCTGGAGCAAATCAGCTACAGACCACAGACCTGCAGACAGAGCAAGATGCTTGTTACCTTCCCTTCACACGCATCTATTTTCAATTGCAAACTTTGCACCATGCACTGTTCCAGCTGGAAGGAACCCTATAAATAATCTGGTCTGTCCCATTTCTTTTAGAGAGGAGCAAACCGAGGCCCAGAGAAGAGGCGGTGTATCCAAGGTAATGCCCCCAGGTATCCTAATCCAGGACTGGGCTTGTTTCCCCTGACTCCCAGCCTGGATTTCCCTCTGCAACTTCTGCATGGGAGTCTCCCATTCTCAGTAAGCTGCCCTCTACCCCGCCTCCCGAGGCTCATCCCTGCCACATCAGTTCATCAGCATCCTGTCTGCCTGGGAAGGCTCCTCCTGGCTCTCTGTGAAGTCTTGCTCTGTCTCCTCCAATTTGATTTTACACAATTCAACCTGCATTTATTGCAAATTAGAGGAGAATGGCTTTCCGGTCCCTAATCAGCATCATTCGGGACGGAGTCCAGAGTTGAAGGCTGGGGACACTCCCAGGACCACAGTAGGCAATGGGGATACAGCACTGTTATGAACAGGCTCCTATATGCAAACGTCTCACTGTCTAGAGGGGAAACTGAAACACTTATAATCCAGTGTCCTTAGTGCTATCATTCATTCATCATCCATTCATTCAACAAATATTTGTGTGACAGGTAGGCATTGTGCTAAGGCACTGGGAACAATTGGCAAGGGATCTTTCCTGATTGGCTTTCCAGCGCATTGGGGGAGAATCAATACTCAGATAAGCAAATGGATGTTTTGCTAGGTCCTCTTTAAATGGAGGCAAGAGCCATAGAGGAAATGAACAGGGTGTCATCGGAGGAGAGATGTACAACTTCAGAGAGACACCTGGTCAGAGAAGACTGACATGAGAAGGCATGAAATAAGGCAAGGATGGGGGACAGGGACGTGGGGACTCTGGGGCATTAGGAGGAGTCTCTGTTTCCCTGCAGAAGCAGAGGGGTGGAGACTTCAGGCAGGAGTGGGGGTGGGGAAGGGCTAAGGCCTCCTGGAGAGCTCCACGCAGGGCTTTCAATCCCAGCACCACCCCATCATCAGCACTGAGGAGCAGGAACGCGGCCCTGCCACCCAAGGCAGCGCAGCCAAAAGAAATGCAGCGGGACCACCTCACCGAAGGGAGCACAGCGCGCATTTCTGCTGGAAGGCAAGTGATGGCTCAGATGTTCTTGGTTTTTTCCATGTGTGGGAATAGAACAGAGATGCCCATGCCTGTTCGTTGCTTTCCTCCCCAGCTAAGAAAACTTTCCATCACTGAGATCATTGGCACTTTTTAAATGGATGTCACCTGGGAACCGGGCAAGTGGTCCCAATTGTGCTTAAGTGGCCAAGGCATCTAGTTGCAAGGAAGTTTTTCTCACAAAACATCCAGTTTGGACAACAGTCAGTGGT